TTTGAAGTTGCTGTTTTTAATCGTAAAGAGTTTTTGAAATGTCCAGAATCGAATTAAGACAAATAGCATTTGGTAAATAGTGTTCCAAAGTGGAATTTGAGGAAAATTTCGTACGAACAGGCAGCAAAATTTCGTAAGTTAAAACTTTGTCAAATATAAGCTGGCCTATGGCTGAGCCTATTTTGGAAAATTTATCAAACAGTTCGCCAGCAATTAAATATCTAACCTTTTTTTTCTTTCTGAAGTTTTTGCATCACCGCAAGACAATTGGATTGAGATTTTTTCAAAGTGCTTACTTTGGATCTTGGAAAGTAACGTCCATATGATAAAGTTTTATGCCTATACAAGCACTAGTTTTATTATTTTGATAGTTCTTCGTAAATTCTTGACTCAAGTTCGAAATGTTCAATCTCATTCATGATTCTCATACTTTTCTTTTTCGATAGTTCTTGGAATTTGGTGTACATTGAGATAATCGTTCTTAGTCAAACAGTAAATTTCTGAAATTGTTAGCCAGAAATGAAATATCTCGGAATTTTTTGCCCTGGGGATGGCTTTTATATCATAACAAGACAATTGGTCTCAAAATGCTTATTTTGGAAAGGATAAATTGCCATCAAATTAGTGTAAATATGGTACAGTTTTATTCCTACACAAACACTTGATCATTTTTGAGTGCTTCGTAAATATCCTCAATGCTTTAAAACCCGAGATTTAAATGTTAAATCTCACCACTGATAATTACACATTTCTTCTAATTTTAGTTTTAAGAATTTGGCGCACATCGAGACAATCAAAATGCTTATCTTGAGCCAAATATATGACAAAATTTGAAATGGAGCACAATAAATATGAAACATTGATGGTTTTACGTTAGTGTGACACGACTGAAGTTTGATTCCAATAATCTGTAGCGTTCGAATTTTTGGGTGGTTTTCTGCAATTAAATCCGAAACACTTAGTTCGAGATAATAATTATTCTTACTGTTAATGATTTTTCTT